AATGACAGAAAAAATCTAGGGGTGTGAGCAAGGGATGAGAAACCTTTGAGCTGGTATTGCACTTTTTAAAAAGTATTTGCTCTAAGTAAATGGGTGCTCAAAATACTACTGAAAAGAAAACTTCAATGAGTCAAGGTATAGCAAGAAAAATCTGTTGGTAGGGAGATGTATTTGAGAGCTTCAGAATGAATTACATTAAAGCAAGTAAAAAGCTTAATTTTGAATTAAACCACAGTCGCTTTTTTCCCACATGCTAAATATCTTAACAGAACAAACTATTCTAATGTGCTTATGAAAAAGCTATGGAAAGAGACCTGGTCTGTCATTAGAGACCTTTGATGCGCAGCCCTTCAAATATATCTAACTTAGCATGTATTGTATGCCTCATCTACCAATGGTGCATCAGTATTCATCTGCTCTTGATATCACTACAGTTTGGAAAAATAAAGCTCGACATCTAGAACAGCATGGAGAGATGTAGCCACTGGAGGCTGGTGCTGTAGCTCCGGAGTTAGTGCGCTGCCAGGCTGGGTGGGTACCAGCCTGGGAACGCGTGTGGCGGTGAGACGAGGATCTCTTTGGTGTCCACACAGTCCAGTGCTCTGTGTAGCTGTGGTACAGATACGCTGATTGCCAGCAATGGTACAGCTTTCCGTGTTGTAACTGTCCAGAATAAATGCACTTTTGCAGCTGTGATGTAACAGCACATCATGTTAGAGTTGATCATCTAAGGGACCACGCACGGGGTGTGTTATGAGGGGTTTAAAGAGCATGGTCATAGAAGGGGGTTGGGTGTTTTCCATTTTCCCATTTCAGTGGAAAATGGGAGGGAAGAAGCTTTTACTTGCAAATAAGTAACAAGGGGAAAAGGATTTTACAAATCAATAACTAAGTCTTAAGAACCTGTTATTTTTCTGCACTTTTCAAAGGGGTGTGGCTAATTAATATAGATACTAACCTTTGATGAGGTCTGGAACAGGTACAGAAATGCTTAAAAGAAGATTCTATATCATGGTATTTGTGAGGAAATGTGTAAGAAAGTGTCATTTATGCTTTCCCTGACAATATTCACAGCAGAACTATTTGAAGCACTTACTGAGCAGAGCAATGTATGAGTATACCTTAAATTACAAGCATTTGCTCCTGTGAGGGAGATGTGGTGCTTCTTAAAGTTGTTGAGAATTGTTTTAATTGGGGTACGGGAGATGTAAAAAGGATGTTTGCTCCAGTGCACTTCTCCAACTTGTACTAGTTAATTTTATTTATGATCTTCTAGTACTTTATTGTCCTTCTTGATTAGATTTTTTTTTTTTAATATGAATGTTTGTTACCTTCGTTACTGTTGTTTTCCTGACTTCTCAGTGATTAGGCACTATGAAAGCTGTTCAGAGTTGGCTAATTCTCCAACTCCAGGAAAACAACAAATCTGTCCTTTTGGATTATGTTACTCGGAAGTGAGCTTTGATCAGGTCATATGTTCAGAGCATGAATGAAAATAAGAGGTCTGACCATGCGAAGTAAGTGGTGTGACTGTACACATACACTGAGGAGTTGATATTTGAATAAAGAATGTTGTACCTTTAGCTGGGATGGGAGGGAGAGAAGGGAATAGAAAAGGATCAAAAACATGTCAGACGCTCAAAAGTTCCAACAAAGTATTTTTAGGAATAGAAGATCATAAAGTACACAGTGATTTAGTTGCAGAAAGTTGACTTGAAATGGATTTTTCATACTCAGTTTATTAAAATTTGAGTTGTTCCATTCATTAAAATGTAAATGCTGACCTGCAAAAATTGACTGTGAAACTTTTTGTAATGGCCACACGTGTTTACAGGAAGCAGAAGGCCACTGCTTTAAGTGCAGCATGTGATTTCATCGTATTGATTCAAGGTGACCTCTTTTGTCCCTGCATCTGAAACTGATGTAACTGCAACTGAAAATACTTTGAGAGGCAGAAAGAGAACAACTTGCTTTCTAGTGGCTTGGTTTTGCAGCTGTTTACAAACCTCTCCTGAAAGAATGCAAAAAAAAAAAAACAACCTAGCTACAGAGACCTGCTTTGCTTACTTGATGGAAAGCTGCTGAACTTTGTCACTAAACAGAACCTTATTTTTAATTCTAATATATGCAAAGGGTGAGCAGGATGCCAAAGGTAATTGTGGCGTTAGTATGTGGTTAAAGCTCTGTGGGTACAAAAAGCTGATTTTTTTGTGCATCTGTGTAGAGATAGTGAAAGTGCACAATTGGCATAGAAGCATGCTGTTAAGCTTTCAAAAAACAATATGTTGATGGAGGATAGAAGCAAGGTCGTATATTTCATTCTACTCCTTTAGTTTTCAAAAAGTCTGAGTGTCTGAAGCATGGTGCTTTTGAATAAGAAAAACAGACACCTGAATTAATGAAATTGGCCTACAGACTGCAATTGCAAAACTGTTGTAACTTACTCCATTGTAGTGGGTGATAGGATCAGGATGTTATTTCCTTGAGTGATAGAGATTGGTGTAAAATTTCTCTGATGTTTTTGTTATGAAAATGTTTTTATCTTCTGTCTTTATAGCTATCTGTAGTTTACAATGAAAACTTTCAGACTGATCAGCTTTACCATTAATGGCAATATTGAAAATGTTATGCAAGGTGTTTCTTTCTAGTACAGGCACCTGCCATCGAAGTCTCTAATCAAAATGCTGCTGCAGTTTCTCTTTTTAGGAAGTGGTCTTTAAACTAGGTTAGGAGCAATTGAAAAATTTCAAGCTTTTGCTTCCCCATTGTTTTCATAACTGGTGATAAAGGGCCTGTGTGATGCTCTGAGAATGGGTGGTGTTTCCAAATACTGCCAACATGCAACTTCTGTCCCAGGCAGTGCAGTTGACAAACATTTGATATTTAATTTCGGTTCTGCTAGATAGTTTGTTAGTCAGCAGATCTGTGTACTATTATAGTCAACATAACGACCTTACTTGAGGAATCAGAAAATTAACATAGTACAGAAACCAAAAGATTTTTGTGAAGGCAATGTACTTATTTTCCTCTGTTAATTTGTCCATATGGGAATGAAGTAAAGATCTCAAATATTTAAAATCTAGTTGGTTTTTCATTTTGCTTTGCAGAAGCTATTAATGTCTAACTGTCAGATATTTATATGGGAAATAAAAGATTATTCAGCTGTCTCTGCCTATATAAATGAGAAAATGTGTCTTTATAAGTGATGCCATTAAGAAACCGATTCCCTTAACATCCAGATCTCTACAATGAAACTATTTTTAGGGTTTTTTTTAGAAACTCATTACTTCTTTCAAAGACAGAAAAGATGTTAGTGAAAGGAGCCTTAATACTTACATAAGTAAGATGGAATATTTAATTTGTTCCCTCCTCAGAGAAAATCATGTGTGTTTCCTGTTACTTTACTTAAAATAACTGGTTTAGATTAATGGGAAATGTTAAACATTATTGGTCTTTTAAAGCAGTTGATCTTACAGAATTCAGCTTGGAACAAAATACCTATTACTTCCTGTAGTAGAAAACTGTCTTTGGTAATGACAGTTGTGCATATCGCATCTGTTTTGCTGAATGATCCAGAGAAGAATTTGGAACTCTTTGAGACTGTTGAGTGCAAGTGCTTCAAGGGATGAGTAATGTTTGGGCAGAAACATGAACAACCAGAGATCCAGATTCTGCAAACATATGAATTTAGGGGTCATTATGAATCTCAGGGGAAAACAAGATTACTCTTGACAGTTACTGACATTCTTCAATTTATGAAAATCTCCTTTCACCTTGCTTTTCATACATTGCATCTCAGTGTGTGCTGTTTTCCTTGTGTGATCTTAAGTAAGGTGCTGGAGGGGACATGGGGTCTTCAAACTCTGTGGCAGTGTCGGTTTCAAAATCTTGTGGTTTTCCTGTTAGAGGAAGGAAATCATATGGTTGCCTTTGATTACGAATGTGAGAGCAAGAAATTGAATTGCTAAGGTGCTTGTTCAGCTTATACAAAGCACTTTCTGCTGAGGATGCAGGAAGAAAAAGGGGCTGGATTTGATGACCAAGACCTGCTTTCCAGTGCCTAGCTGTGGTATTTTTAGTGTCTGTATATGTCAATATTGCGATCCAAATGTCAATACTTTAATATGCAGACCTTAAACTTGCTAATGCAGGTGATTGTATGCTGCTTTTCTCCTAAAATGAATGCAGCATTTAGAATTAGAACAAAGTAGTTGAAATGCCCCTGGGAGCAAGCTGGCATGTGGGATGGTTTCTGTCAAGCAAGAAAAGAAAGGGGAGGACTGGATTGTTGGAAGACAGGCTTTGCACAGTGGTCGTGTAAGCATGAGAATAAATTGTTTTGTTGCAGTCACTATATATAAATTCTATAGAGCTGTGCTGTATAGAGATGCCCAACTTAACTCTGAAGTAACTTGAGTACTGGAGGAAATGGAGATGCACTTCATCCATGTTAATGTACCCTGCTGGGTTAGAAGTGATACTTCATTGTGCTGTGAAGACATATTATTTGAGGCCAAAGATGTTACCTAAAGTCTTGTCAGTGTGATTCTTTGCAGAGACAGTCTCAGCCTGAATATAAACCTATTTACATTTTGTCTCTTACTTTGCTTCCTTTATCGGTGATTGTAACTTTTCTGTATTTCTTTTTTCTTCTGTTGCTCTGTGCCTCTGTGACTGTTAGAACAAAGTGCTGGTGAGATCAGAGACTTGTGCCTTTTTCCACATGTGTACAGAGCTGTGTGACTGGTACGGCTGGCCTGCTTTCCAGGCCAGCTGTCTAGTACTATTTGCAGGTCAAAGCTATGCAAACACATGCTAATGCTGCTGTTGGCTTTCGGGGCTGTATGGTTATGTAACTGTGGCCTTTAGTTTGTTGCTGTGGAACTATTCAATAATTAATAAAACAGGTGACTTCTTTCTATAGGCCAAGCCTTCAAAAGAAATTATTTCTAGCAGATTGTAACGATGTTTCTGTCTTTAACCCTTTTCTCTTTAAACAGGAAGAAAATGAACCTGAAGTCTGAACGCAGAGGAATTCACGTTGATCAGTCAGAGCTACTGTGCAAGAAGGGATGTGGTTACTATGGCAATCCTGCTTGGCAGGGATTTTGCTCCAAGTGCTGGAGAGAGGAATACCATAAGGCCAGGCAGAAACAGATTCAAGAGGATTGGGAGCTGGCAGAGCGGTAAAGAGCCCTCTTTATTCCTTCATCTTTTACAGTAGGGTGACTTCACTAAATTCTATTCTTGTCTCCTATTTTCTAGTCCTACTTGCTCTGGCTCAGCTTTATCATAAGTTCTCAAATTTGACCTTTCAAGCAGGAATTAAAATCTTCCTTTTGATGCAAATATGAATATTTATGGAATTCTAATTTAAGAGGTTTCAAAAGCAAGTCTGTGAAGTAACAAATGTAAACACCCCCCTCAATCTCTCCACAAATACTTTGACCTAATTTGCATACCAAAATCTGTAATTCTAACTAGCAGTTGGAAGGGTGAAAGTGACAATTTTGATTAAAATACCTCTGCCTCTGGAGACCACAGTTATTGTCTTGAATATAGGCAGCACAATAGTTTTACATTTCAGCTACTCATTAAAAAAATTCCTTTTAGTCTTGTCTGTGATTATTGTTTTAAACTGCAGGGTTAAGCCCAAAAGCATCAAAGCTTCAGCTTTAATAATTTAGGTAATTTTTCCAAGCACATATTTTCTGAAAAATAGTCTAGTTTTCCTAGTGTGATAAATGCTTGACCCTGAAAATGGGTGTTGGAGGAAATCTGTGCTTGAGAGAGAAAGTAAGAGCAGCTACAACTACTTTTTGTTGGATTTGGGTAGAAAGCAAAAGCATTATTCACTGCCTGAGAAACTGCAAAGCAGCATCTTTTGTACTACAGATGTCGTTTGTGTCACTTCCAGGTGTGAGTTACATGACATCCACTCAGAACGAACTCTTTCAGGGTTATGTGAATTCCTGAGATGGAGGAACATCTAGCTGTGTATTAGGAGTTGATTGGCAGTTGACTTGAGCTGGCCAAGATGTTTGTTCATACTGGCACAGGTTCTCTATGTATGCTTACCTTAATGTATTACTGATATATGCCAGAACTCTAGGAAAAAAAGTACAAATGCCCAGGAGACTTGTCCGTACTTGAGTTTGGAACCATTTGGTGAGCTTGAGTTACCTAGTAATATGTTAACCAATGTCACTGGGGAAAGGAGGAAAAAAAAAAAAAAAAGGAGGCATTAAGTGCACTGTTCACATTAGCCTGCCTGAAGAAGGTGGTATCTGTGGAAGCTCTTTGAACTTGAGCTGGGTCCAAACTAATGGCTATAGTTTGGAAGCCCTAAGTTTTCTGGTATCTAACTACCTTAGACCCTCTTACTCTAGACCTCGAATTAGTTTGTTTTTTAAGTTCTCTTTACTGTCTGACACTGTAACAGATTAATCATAGAATACCAAATTGGAAGGGACCTCAAGGATCACGTGGTTCAACCTATCTTGGCAAAAGCACAGTCTAGACAAGATGGCCCAGCACCCTGTCTAGTGGAATTTTAAGTGTCCAATGTTGGGGAATCCGCCACTTCCCTGGGAGGTTATTTCAATGGCCGATTGTTCTCACTGTGAAAAATCTTCCTCTGTCCAGTTGGAATCTCCCCAGGAGTAACTGGTACCCGTGACCCTTCGTCTTTTCCATGTGACTCCTTGTAAAAAGGGAGTCTCAGTCTTCTTTGTAGCCACCCTTTAAGTACTGGAACATGGTGATAAGGTCTCCACTAAGCCTTCTTTTCTCAGGGATGAACAAACCCAATTCTCTCAGCCTTTCCTCATACAGCAGGCTTCCCGGTCTCTTGATAGTCTTTGTGGCCCTTCTCTGAACCCTCTCCAGCCTGGCCACAGCTTTTCTGTATAGTGGGGACCAGAACTGAACTCAGTATTCCATGTGTGGCCTCACAAGCTCTGCGTAGAGTGGGACAATGACTTCTTTATCTCTGCTGGTGATACCTTTGTTGATGCAACCCAGCATCCCACTGGCTTTCATTTGCTGCTGTAGCGCACTGGTCACACTCATGTTGAGCTTGTTGTCTACCAGGACCCCCAGGTCCCTTTCACAGAGCTGCTCCAGGTAGATCCCAGCCTGTGCTGTACTGCTGGATTATGTTTTCCCAGGTGCAATACCTTGTGCTTGACCTTGTTGAACTTTATAAGGTTCTTGTTTGCCCACTCTTCTAGCCTATCCAGGTCTTTCTGCAGGGTGGCCCTCCCTTCTGAAGTGTCCACCTCACCACTCAGTTTGGTGTCATCAGCAAACTTCATCAGGGTACACTTGATCCCATTATGCAGATCAGTTATGAAGATACTAAACAGCAAGGTATTAAACATGTTAACTGCAAGAAAGGTAGAAAGAAGTGCTTGAAACCTTTTCTGTCCTAATCAGAAGGTGCAAGGTAAGCTGTTGAGTACAGTACAGAGGACATGTAATTTTTTTCCTCTGCCATAAATTTAGCTTAAACACTTAATAAAAACTTAGGTATTATTAGAACAGATAGTTATACTGTCAGTTGTAAAACATCTGTGTACAGTAAAGTGAGGCATTTAAGGAATTCTTTAATAAGTAACTGTTCAATAGGGAGATGCTAGAGGAACAGATAAGCTGTGATTGTTGTAGTTAACAGACAGGCTTGTCAGCACAGATAAAACACAATTCCTGCCTCAAGAGATTAGAAGTGCAAGACCATTTATGGTCCATCCTGAGCTGTATGTTTAAATAAAATTGCTCAACCTTTTAGCATCTTGAAGGACGATATGATTTAACCTATTTTAATCTTTCTGTATAGGAAGAAAAATAGCAGTTGAAGGATTAGTATGTTTGCCCTCCCCTACTTTGTACATGTAGATGAAAAGGTGGGCTTGGTCTTTGCAAAGTACCCATCAGTGCTGCAGTGGTTTGCCTCATTCATTCAAGCAAGCGTATGTGTTACTAAGACTTTGAAAACAAATTATGACAACAATGATCTATTTCCCAGAATATTTCTGAGGTTGTGACAGGGTATTTCACTTGCTCAACAGCGAGCCATAGCTTTTATTTTTAGTAAGATGGTAAAGGATTGCCTGTGGTAATAGTTGTGAAACCTGGAACACGATGAAGAGAGGAAGGCAGCTGAGTCAATTATAGGAAGTCCTCCAATAGTCTTTCCCCTCACTTCTACCTTTGTAGAATTCAGGGCTGTGACATGAGCAAACAGTGACCATGATTGTACTTGTCTCTGCCCTTTTGACCTTACTATTTAATCCTCCCTGACCATCTTAAGCTTTCCCTCATTTTCACCACTGCAACATGGAAGGAGTGGATGTAATGTAGTGAAGGGAGATGTAGGAAGCAGGAAATGAAGATGGACGTAGAGGAGAATTAGCATGTCAAATGAGTAATTAATTTATTGCACAGGAAATTAGCTTATTTGTGCTGGTTTTAAACATTTAAATTAGACTTATGTTTTTATAATTCCAGGCTTCAGCGTGAGGAGGAAGAAGCCTATGCCAGTAGCCAGAGTACCCAAGGGGCGCAGTCACTGACATTTTCAAAATTTGAAGAAAAGAAAACCAATGAGAAAACACGAAAGGTCACTACTGTGAAGAAGTTCTTCACTGCTTCTTCCAGAACAGGAGCTAAGAAGGGTAACTTTCTCCTTTTCTTTTAATGGTTCTGTTCAGCATCTTAAATTAAAAAGTATTTTTGATAGATATATTGTACCAAAAGACAGTGTTCTGCAACTTGGCTTTAAAAAGTTGGAATAATTACACTTCTGGAGAGTGATTGTTACATGTGTAGTCTTACTGAAAACACAGAAAAACATGAGCTTTTGGGTGACACCAAACAATCTTTTAAATAGAAGTGCACTTCTAAACCTGTGGCTGTGTTTGTGTTAGTTATACAGGAGCTCTTCCACTGAAGTGTAGTATGAATGTATTCCTGGTGGTGGTCTACCACTGTGCTGCTGGGTGAAAGTATCTTATTTGTATGATGCACATTCTTGCTAGATTCATGAGTCAACCATAGTGTGATACTGTGGTTTAGGACTTGGAAGGGAACTCTTCCTGAAGAGAGCGGGAGAAAAGGTACTGGCTGTCAGTCACCTCTAACAAACTGGTATGTCTCAGTGTGATACAAATGCTGATACAAAATATCAGATGATGCTGTCATAATGGATCACTTCAACAGCTTTAACAGAAAAAACAGCATGTGTAAGCAGGGTGCCTTTAAATGAAAATAAATGTGAAAGGAAACTTGTAGTGTTTATGTGTATGTGGGTTGTGAATATCAAGTTTGTGGTTGGCTGAATGTTTATTCTACAGCATGTGTTACAAGTAAGAATGATTAATGGCACTGGTGTCTTTGCATAGCAGTAGCTTACATGGGCAAAAACCAGAAAATGCTAGACTGTGGAGGAGGCATTCCAGAAGAAAAAGCAACAGTAGTGTATCTTAGCCTTATAGACACTGCATTTCCTTAAGAAGTTCTAACTATGTCTGGATTTCATCTTAGAGTTTGTCTTGGTGCATGGATGTATTAAGAACTCTTTTTTATGTTCATTCTTCTCACTTTCCATATTTGTTTTTTTTTATCCCATACACCGTTTCTCCTGACATGCTCCTGCTCTTGGTGTCTTGCTTGCTTTTGCATTTATTTCAGTGGCTCAAGAGAAAATCGTTAAGCAAGGACAGCTTGGGAGGGAGCGAAATGCTGATAACATTCTCAGGGATTTGAAGGAGATTTTTACTCCCTCCTGGGAACTGGCTTCCCCTACTGAAGGTAATGCAGTACAGCTTGAGCAAGCTGTCTGCTTGATTTTAGTTAAGTTTATTTCTTAGCTGGGCTTTGCAAAATACAAACTAGGGTTGTGCCAGTTCTAACTTGTGCTGTTGAATATGAAGATGACAAAAAAAAGCAAGTCTAGCGTCTTGAAGATGACTTGAATTTCTAAACCAATTCTTTGCTTTTTGGTAGGGAGAGTATAGGAATAAAGCTGAAACCTCTCTGAGCTCTACCTTAGCATAACATCTGAAGAATTATGCAGTTTCAAAAAAATAAGGATTTTGTAAAAAGTAGCTAGATCTTGTGCTGCTTCGCATTTATAAAAAAATAATTCCAGGTTGCCATTATAAATCTGATTAGAAGTTGAAACTACTTCAGTTCAGTAGTTCACACTCCAAGAACTTTTGCATTCTCAAAATATCTGCAGATGTTTGCTATATTAATCAAGAAGACAATTTCATATCAAGAGAAGACATACTGTTTTCATTGAAGCCAAAAGGATGACAAAACCCTTGATGCAAACAGCTTCAGGATCTTATCCTATGTTACTTGTTTGCAATTCTGACATGCTCTGCTGACTGAAGAAATTTGAAGATGTACCATTCTTTATTTTGCAAATCATAGGAAGATGATGAATGGGTGTGTGTAGTAGAGCTAATGACAACACTATTTTTATATTCTTTACTTGGACTCGGATCCATGACCGTGGCACAACCATAGTGAATCACTGGAGTGCTAATGTTCTGCTGTGACAACTAGCATTTTTGTAGAATGCCTTGAGAAAGATTTTAATATTAATAGTGTTTATCTTTTGTAAAAGTGATCCTTCCTTAACTATTCCCATACTCTTTTCATTTTGGCATATCTCCTCTACTAGGTTCTCTTTAACTTTTCAACTTCTTTTTAGTTAGTCTTAAGACTGACTTTAGAAGTCAAACTTCTTTTTAGTTAGACTTAATTCTTTTAGAGTACATGACAAAGCTGTAAATATTTTGTTGCTGAAAGTACAGTTGTTCCTGCAGTCTGTAGTAGTCAGTGCACATTGTACAGGTTCATTTTCCTTAAATCAGGATTTCAACACAGAGATTAATGAAGGTGCAACATTTCTGAGTGACTACATGTAGTTCTTGGTGTGAGTTATTAAAAAGTTCATTCTAACATTCAATTTTTTTTAAAACGCCCACATTAACAGTAATCTGCCTCAATTGTCTATAACTAATAACTAAAAAAAAAAAATCTCTTTTAAATCTGTGCCTAAAAAAATTATTCATATTCCTTAAGGACAAATAACGGAATAAGGTTCATGATTTTTCTAATACAGTGAACTCGGTGTTGAAATAAGTAATAAATCTTTGTCTGTTCTTTGAAATGAAGTCAGTAATTAATTGTGGGAAAAATATCTTAGAATTCTACCTTTCAGAAAGCGGACCTGCTTTCTTTGTTTATTATTGCAAAGCTACTGCTCTCTACTTAGCGGTTATGTAATAGTAACCGTGACAAATTCAGATCAACATATAGTGATGGTTGCTGTTCAGCTTGAATACTGTAGAGGCATTCTACTTTGAATCTTAGGTATCAAGAAGATTGGAGGAAATCCCTTCTGGAAAAAGTGTTCTTGTGTAACTATAAAGGAGATTGATTTGTACTTTCTATCTTGATTGCTGCAGTTGGAATTTAAATATTTGCTAAACCTTTTCCATTCTTATCACCTAAATACCATAAATGTTCTAATAGTATCAGACCAAGTTATTATCCAGAGATGGTTATGCTGAAGTGTAGTCTTGTGCCTTGGTCAAATGGTCGGTGGTGTTAGTCACTGGATCATACAGCTTTGAATTTACTATAGTGCTGTATCTCTTTAAAAGCAAAGAACAACAAACAAAAAAACCTCATAAGCTACCTCAAATCTAAAACATCCCAACTTAAATATACTAATCCCATTTATTTTAAGTTCTGCATGTGTTCTTATAGAAACAATGATTATTTTTTTTTTGTTGTGCATGTTAGTATTTTCAGATTGAAAGATATGTTTGTATCATGTTGACCATGAATGTTTTCTGTCTCTTTGCTGCTTGCTTTTCATCATGTTCATTTACATCATCTCTATTCAATCCTTCATTTTGAACAGTGTTGGCTGGCAAGTTGAAAGGTGGGTGAACTGAACTTGGGTAGTGAAGGTATTGGATCAGTACAATTAACTTAGTACATATACATTGGAAAGTCCAATGTGTTTGTGTGGAAAATCCCCATGGTTGCAGCTCTATAAACTTGCATCCAGTGCTGTGTGCAGTCTGTGTTCCTACCTCCTTACTGAGTGCCAAGCAAATTCTTCCTTTAACAGGCGTGGTGCTTCTGCTCTTGCTGAAACACAAATGGCCAAGTTCTCATTTACACTGCAGGTGCGATTCTGTGGCATCTGCTGCTGAGCCAAAAAGGGCTGCTGCATTTGCACCAACTGCATGTTCCCGTTCCTTGTCTTGTCCTGCTGCTGCTGCTCCTGTGACCTGGTGGGAAGCCAGCTTGAGGAGCTGATCGAGCTGAAAAATAACCCCATAAGAAACACTGATTTCTGACTAGGCCTTTCCCAAACTACTACCCCCTGAGCTAGTTCGTGAGTCAGTTGAATCAATACTTGTGTTGGTGCAAGCAAAGAAGCAGGAATGTAAAGGTGAGGGAGAATGGAGAAGGGGATCACTGCTGCAGAATCCAATCTGGAAGCCTTGATCTTATATGGAGACATCTTACCTAGGAATGAAAATGTAAGAAACCCAAAAGCAAACCCATGTTACTGTAGTTTGCTACTATAAAAAGGCCATTAGTGTAAATGGGTATGTGGCTATAAATGTTTCACTTCAGTGGAATACTCAGTTTCTTAAAGTTCTGTTTAATAATATCCAGCATTTCACTTGTAAAGCTTGAGAAATAAATGCTCATTCATCTGCACAGTTGAAAAAAAACAACTTGAAATTTTAAGACACATTAAACACTTCCTGAGTTCATCCATCAGTGTACAAAAGCTAATCCGATGTGCCCAAATTTTCCCAGCAGAGATCCAAGAAGCCAAGGCTCCCAGCCCTTCTATAAACAGGCAGGCTAGCATTGAGACCGATCGAGTATCCAAGGAATTCATAGAATTTCTCAAGACATATCATAAGCCTGGACAAGATATCTATAAGCAATGTAAACTATTTTTGGACACAATGAATCATAAAAGGGTAAGTTTTTGCATGCCTCCTACATAAATAAAATGGGGAAATTATGGAGAGGTGGAAAAAACGCTGCACTTCCAGCAGTTTGGTTTTTATATACAGTATACGGGAGTTTTCAGCTGATAGGCTTAGTCAAATGAAGATCTAGCGGCAGTCTTAAATTCTGAATGAGTTGCTTTTTGGTGTGCTATGTAACCAAAGATACCCTCCAACCCCAGTATCTCAGATATCTTGAGAGAACTTTCCTTTGCATTCCAAGTAAATTAGGTATGAATAAATACCACATAAATTAGTCTGTTGAACAAACAATTTTCTAGGAAAATAGGACTTGTGGAAATTATATTACATAATGAGTTTTTAGACATTTTAAGTTTAAAAAATTGTAAAGATAATACAGTATTAACCCACATGTCTCCTTTTCTTTGGGGAAGAGGACCTTGACTGTGCTTCTTTTAATATGGAAAAGGGATTACGTCTTCATTCTCCATAAAAAAGAAAAATTAATGTTCTTGAAATATTAATGTGCCTGTAGTGCCACCTATGGTTGAAGTGAGTCAGTATTCAGCACAACATTTTTTTTATTATTTTTTTTCCTTCCCATTCCTATTTAGTATGTAGTTACTTAAATTATATCCTCAGATTGGACTGGAAATTAAAGGGAGTTCTCATGGACACTTAGATGCCCTCCACTTTGAAAATATCTTGAGGTGTTGTTTTTTTTTTTTTTCTTTTAGAACTGATTGATTCAGAGCATAGAGTTTGTGAAAACAGTATGTTGTTAATAGTGTTTATAAACACTGAAGGTACTTTCATTTCCTAGTTCCTTGATAGTTTGTGCTAGTCAAAAAGAAGTCTTTCTCAAAGCATTCAATTTGGTACTACACGTAAACCAGGCCTAAAGTGCAGCACTGCCATGAGAAGTGAGACTTTGTGTTCAGGGTAACTGTCTAGTTTTTGGCCTTAGAGAATTCAGAAACTGAGTTCTCTCTCCATTTTTTTTAATGTATGGTTTTATGATGCCATTTAATGGTGAAAAGTGACTTGATTGGTAAAGTTAATTTTAAACCTTTAAACTTCCATTATGTTCTTCCGTAGCTCAGTTAATGCCCAGAAGACAATGTTGTTTCATAAATAGCATTACAAATATATTTTATAGTCATTTTATCATTAGAATTGTTTACTGTATAGATAGTCTTTCAAATTATTATTTATGTTCTTGTTTTTTTGATATACAGTATATAGCCTTTTAAAAAGTTAGAGACAAAATTGGGAGCAAGCGCTCTGCTTAGTCTACGTTATTTTGTCACTGTTACTCAGGAATGTGTCTGGGGAAAATGGCACTGCACCTGTCCAATTCCATTGCTAATATTAATATACATCTGTACAGCAAATAAATACCTTTCACATGTGAAAGAGTCGGTATATCTTGGTTTCTCATGTTTTTGAATATAATTTAGCCAACATAAACACCTCTGACGATACATTTGCATTCTCAGACTGTTACTGCAGCTGGACACTTTCCTTAAACAAAAACAAACATCAGAGGCACTGCTGCCATTTCTTCCACACATGCACACTTAATCAGTTTTCTGTTACAGGACTTAAGTATTGAGGAGCAATCTGAATGTGCCCAGGATTTCTATCAAAATGTAGCAGAGAAGTTACAGACACGTTGGAAAGGTATCGTGTTGTTCTTCCATGTACCTTACTGCTGAAAAAGTAACGATTTGAGGATAAAGCCTCTTGCATTTTTAAGTAAAAACAAAGCATTCCTAACCAGCTTTCAGAAATGCTGTTAACAAATTCTAGTACCATAGTCAGAACTATTGCCAGCAGCACCAGTTCTATAAACTTTTGCAGACTAAATTATTTGTTTTTACAGGTTTTTCTTAAATTCTCAATTAAATGTTGTTCTGTTCGTTTCATTTCTTGTTTTAAATTCAATGCTATTTGTTTAAAACTGAAGTCGAATGTGTAGCCTCAACCCAATTATCAGGCTGTGAGCCTTCCATTACACTGTAATGCACAAGCAGCCAGTGAGAGAGGAGTGTTTCTGTTGCAGGCTGCTTTTATGTGCTTAGTACATAAGTGGCACAGCTTAAACATACCCAGGGATTTTTTTAGACATAAACAAGAACAGAGGACTTGGAAGACCTCACTGGATTTATTCTCAAAGACTGTATTTTCAATAAATATTCTTGTAAGCTATAAGCAGCTGAATCTAATTTGTGTGTTGAATGTGCTAAATTAATGTGCTTCATTGTGAACCTATGCATGTACTTACTTTGGCATGTCACTGTGGTGTTCTCACCATTATATTTTTACTTCTGCTGTAGAGTGAGAAAATGCTCCAAGTATATCCATTAACTCGGGTTGACTCAAGTCAGTAGTACTGGCTGGTGACATTAGGACCAAACTGTGTTAAATCTTCAAAAAGGCCATGGGATTCTTTATTTACTGTACCGGGTGTGGGATTTGTACCTTTCAGTGCCCCCTGAAAAAGTTGAGAAAGCAATGGATCAGATTGAAAAATACATCATGACTCGACAGTATAAATATGTCTTCTGCCCTGAAACAACTGATGATGAGAAGAAAGATCTTGCTGTCCAAAAGAGAATCAGGTAAGTCTTTAAAAGAAAAATAGTTGAGTTATTCCCAGTCCTGTAGATGAGCTCTGAAGCAATCATGTTCAAAATCTTTTGCTGTGCACACAAAAGTGGCAAACTTTTTAACTAGAAATGGTTAAAAACACTTTATTTAAGAAACAGAAGGAATTAGTAGAATGAATAATGAAAGCTACTACACTAGGAAAACTAATTGGTTTGCTTTTTTAAAATTAGTAGCAAAAAAAAGTATTTTTTCTGGAAATAAATTACTTCAGTGGAATAAACTAGCTTATGAGTGGACTAGCACCTCATTTATACAAAGCACTCCTTGTGCCTTGAGTTCAAGAAGCAGCTGGTTTCAAACACCTGAACGTTACTGGCATAGAACAGTTGAACATTTTTTTTTTCTTGCCATAGGGCTTTGCACTGGGTAACTCCACAAATGCTGTGTGTTCCTGTCAATGAAGAAATTCCAGAAGTTTCTGATATGGTTGTAAAAGCAATTACAGGTTTGTGAATGATTAAATTGACATTTACTGCTTTAAATATCATATCTCTTGCTCACAGAGAGTATTTTCTGCTGTCGTCAGAGGGGTGTCCAGGCTTTTAGATTTGCAGTGGTCTCTGTGGTGTTGGACTAGGATATTGTCCGTGAAGTGGGAATAATTTTTCTATTACAGAAGTGTTGAGGCTTACCTGATCTATTTGAAATACTTGTACAGAACCAAGAGAAGGTTGAATAAACAGATACTTCTAAGGAACAGCAAGCACCACAGATGAAAATGATGCAATATTAGTATTGTTTAGTTAAGTGTTCTACTCATTCAGGTGTCTGATTAATATGGTTTAAAAGATTTGAGAACTTTTTTTGTCTTACAGATATTATCGAAATGGATTCAAAGCGTGTCCCTCGTGATAAATTAGCATGTATCACCAAGTGCAGCAAGCATATATTTAATGCTATTAAAATCACAAAAAATGAACCAGCTTCTGCTGATGACTTTCTTCCAACACTTATATACATTGTTTTGAAGGGAAACCCACCCCGTCTGCAGTCTAACATCCAGTATATAACACGCTTCTGTAATCCAAGCAGGTTGATGACAGGAGAAGATGGCTACTATTTTACTAATCTGGTAAGTACAGGAATGGTATTGATGTTTTAGACAAGAAGATTCTCTTTTATTTGGATGTAGGAATTTCTAGGAAAGGCAAACACAGCATAACATAGAAGTAAAATTAAAAATAATGCTCAAATAGTGGTTGAGGTTAGAGTACAGCAAGCTCTTTGGCTTCATCTCCTTCTTCCTCCTCTGCTTTCCAAACCAGACAGTGCTTTGCTTTCTTTGTAATATTAAACCCTTTATTTGAACGGTCTGATGCTAAGACTTGAGTATATTTTTACTGTGTAAGGAGAGAAGTACTTTCTATTCCTAAAATCCTGAGTTTGGGCTGTGCAGATGTTACGGATGCAAAGTTCCCCATTTAAGCCCATGAGAGTTTATTCCTTGAAGGGTCTGCAGAACTAGGCCATTAATGTCTGGAGATAAACAGGCTTTTTAAGGCTTCTGCAGAAGGCTTTTAGTGGTATGCTTGTTTGTATTAGAAGAAATTATGATTAAGAACTTGTCTCCTCTGCATTTCACCGTAAAGCAGTTCTCAAGGTGGAATATGTAGTTGAATGAAATACTTGGAATGCTAAAAATAACTTTCAGTAGGAGGAGAGCATCCACAAGGTAAGATGGGCATATGACATTGCTTCCTTTAGAAAATGAATAGAGATCATAGCAGATCTCTGCTGATCAGATTACTAAATATTAATATAGAGCTCTTGTCTAGTTGTCATGTTCTTTCTGTTCTCTCACCTTCAAAATGCAGTGACCCTGATGTTTGTAATGTGTTATCTAGTGAGTAAGTACTGTTCAGCTGAAGTGGCGTCTTCCTATATTGTTCTCAGAGTTTTTGACTTCTTCAGGCTTTGGGGAAATAGGCATATGAGCTATCTGATATAGTCAGCTTCCAGAAAAGCTCTTTGGGAGCAATCTGTTGAAGCATTAAATAAAATAATCAGTTACTGGTCTTAACAGCTGGATAAAAAATAGAACGCACATGTTCCAATCTGTAGCTTGCAGTGATACTTGCTCTGTTTTGTTTATAGTGCTGTGCTGTGGCCTTCATCGAAAAACTGGATGCTCAGTCTTTAAATCTAAGCCAAGAAGATTTTGATCGTTTTATGACTGGTCAGACATCCCCGAAGAAGCAAGAATCTGACAGTTTTTCACCGGATGTGTGCCTGGGTGTTAAGCAAATGTATAAAAACTTAGACCTCCTATCTCAGTTGAATGAGAGACAGGAAAGAATTGTCAATGAAGCCAAGAAGCTTGAGAAAGACCTAATAGATTGGACTGATGGAATTACAAAGGAAGTCCAAGATATTGTTGAGAAATATCCATTAGAAATAAAACCAAAAAATCAAACCTTAGCAGCTATTGACTCTGAAAATGTGGAAAATGACAAGCTGCCCCCACCACTGCAGCCTCAGGTTTATGCAGGATAATTATCAGTGTTAACTTTGAAAAGCATCATTTTCCTCACCTAGTACTATCTGCTACTTGGGAAGGGAAGGAAATTTGAGGCTAAAAATGAGATAAGCTTAAATCAGTACATTTTTAAAGGTACATTTTTTTTTGTTAAGTGTAATGAATTGTATTTATTTTAGTCAAGTAGATTTCTATTAGGCTTTTGTGGGTTTTTGAACTGAATTTAAATTTTCTACACAAACCAGTGTAATTTTTAAGCAACACTAGTCCATTGACATCTTTCCTGAAAGCTTCTAGGCATGCACTTACTTGTTTTTAATAATTAGTTTAACTTAAAGAATTTGAGTTCCAGCAGAAACTCGAAGGTACCAATGTTAGTCTGAATTTATTCTGTAGCTGTAAAGATGAAATATATATTGTAAAATATGTAAAATTGTAAATAGATTTAAAATCTAATGTCTCAACTGTGCATGACATCTTGTGTATGAGTGAAAATGATACAAAAGTGTTAATTTTAGCACCTTTCAGTTAAATCACATTGCAGTATAAAGGCAAGTACACTGTTAATGTTTCAGTAAGCTAGATGGTATAACTGATGAATTACAGTCAGAGAGGATATTGTTGTAATGATCTGAAAACTTGACACTCATTTTGTAATCTGCTCTGTAAAAAAAAAAAAAAAAAGAAAAAAGAAGTGCTATTTAAAATATGACATTTCTTCATGTAAAAGTTCTCTCTGCTTTGTCAGTACACCTGATAGCCTTCAGTGGTGCACGCAAGTGCTGATATTTCTACTTTTGAAGAGAATGTTGACCCAGGCTTTGGAAATAAGAGGAAATACTTGTATTAAAAATTGCATAATGTGGAACAAAAAGGGGGAGGGGAGAGGAGATAGTGCAAGAATTGCACCAAAAGTGGCTTTATTTTCTGGCATTGCCTAGTAATTTCCACCAGTGGGCTAGGTCCTGATTGCTTTTTTGACAATCCTGGTAGATAAATAAGTTCATATAATTAGAGGCTGCTTTTTAGAAGAAGCAGGAGTCATTGCTCGGAGCAGAAAAGTGCACTTTATTTTCACAAAACATCAGTCTTCTGATTTCTAGTGACTCCCCCTTTAGCAAAAGGACTTGCCTTGCTAAAGCATTGAACGTTGAGGTAAATACGGCTTTATGTCACTAAAAGTTTAGATCGATGTATTTCAAGTTAATAGCTCACTCTGCAAAAAGTAACCTCTTGCAATATAACTTTTTTTTTATGCCAGTGAAACATTTTATATATCATTTTAAATATCTTCCAGTTAATCCAATTTGCCATGATTTGTTTGCATACCTGAGATATCTAACATAAAGCTACTTTGTTTGAACTACTTTTAAGTAATGTTAAATTCTTACCATCAAGGAGGAAAGTACCTACCTCTTTATTTGTTCCACTGCTTTAAAAACACTGCTGTTTTAAATTTGCACTGCAATAATTTCAGACCACAACTGTGATTTGTCCCTTTTTGTCAAATGTATTTAACCTTATGAACTATGCATTCCTAGTGTTTCAGAGATAACTGATTACCCCAAAACTCCACTGCTGAGGTGAAGCAATGAACTAATCAGGTGATCACAAAAAATTACGTTATTTAACGTATCAATGTGTCACTGCACCCAAAAGGCTTAGGATCTGACCAGTGCTTGCAGTAAATAATACTATAAAGTCTTTATTTTCTTTATAAACACTAGGTGCTAATTCTGATATCCAGGTACAAGGGTTTTCCGAGGGGTGGGAGGGGGAAAGCAAACTTTTAGCTATTGTGTAAATTGCCATGTTTAAATAAAAGTGTGTACATTATGACCTTGTTAATGAGTTCCTAAAGATCTCCTCACTGGGTTTAGTTATGCTGTTAATGATTAATGTGAATCTAATTGTGACTGCCTCTGCATTCTCTGTGTTTTGGGAGACACAATTCTTAGTCACTCAAGTGCAAGTCTAGGTTACAATGTCTTTTTATTTGTAGAAAGGTCATGGTAGTGATTCGGTACTTAAGAACGATTTGCTGGTGCATTTGTACAAAAGTATCTCTTATTCATATGCTCTCTTGTTATCGAGCCACTAAAGTGGGAGTTTTTCAGGAAACAAAGCCTCTTTAAAGGCAGGTAAGATGGATTTCCATATCCCATCTAAAAGTTAGCAAGCAGGAGTGGCTTGCTCCTAGCTCTAGTACAGCCTGGGTAGTAACAATGCTGGGAACAGCTCTCAAAGGCGCTTGCATTCTAGTGTTTGAGTGACTAGACTGCTTTAAGACCTCGTCAATATTTTATTAGGTAAATGACCTGTCTGTAGGTGAGAGAGGTAAATAGTTTTGTCTTGCTTAAAAGTAAGGTAGTTCAATTGCCTTAGTAATAACTGCAGAGTATCTTTCCACTGTTTAAAAATCCAGACTGGGCAAGCAGTCATGCACAGGGCGCTGGGGAGATGCTGGGGAAGATTCAGTGCTGGGCACATGGAAATACTGTCTTAAAGTGAATTGGAACACAAGCTGCTGTGCTTTGGTGACAGTCACAGTATCAGAAATGCTTTGGGTTTTTTTCTTTTCAACAGCCCGCTACTCCTTCAGTATTACAGGAAGTACTGATTTATTAAGCTGTACATCTTTGGTTTCACATAACTGAATTATGACATTAAATTGATTCTTGTACCCAGTTATCAACGTTCACAAATTCTCTGGTGTATATTCTCCTGTGACTGGGTATCTCATCCGTAAGGTAGGGAGGCACAGATGCTGATACATAGAGTCAGTGCTATTTAACAGCAATTTGGAAGAAAAAAAAAAAAAAAAAAAAGGGTTAAGAGGATTGGGGGAAGAAGCAGCAGTGTTCGATCTGGTGAAAGTACCGAACCTTGGAGGCTCACATGCTATAGGGGCTGCACTACAAGACAAACAAGTTTGATACTTCATCTGGGTATCTAGTAGGAGATTGGTGTCCTTTTATCTACAGCCACCATCGTTTTGTCAGAAATATGTACAGAATTAGTGTTTCAGGTTTGTTGGGTTTTTTTTTAAATTGCCTGAAAGGCTTGCCAAGTGTGCATTGGCAATACTACCTCCTGCCTTCCACCAGCCTCAGTCAAGAAGAGTCATTAGCCAAGGCAAGTAATCCAGTACTGTCCTTAGACATCTTTGAGTGATTTCTGACCTTTCTAATGATAAGGAAAATACTGTAGTTTTACCTTTCCAAAGTACCACAACTCTTGCAAATACTTATGGCTGCTGGAGTCAGGGAGAGGTTTGTAGGCTGGAGACCCTGCCTGTAATTCCAGGCTGTTGGAGCTGGCCTTGCTCTCTGCCGCAGGGTTACGATGGTGTAACGGGCTACACCAGCTCGGTAAGGGCTGGAGGGCTGGGTCGTGGCCCCTCGCCTGGTGCCCCAAAACAGCCTGGCTCCGTCCTCTCTGCCCATCACTCCACCATCTACATCCCACTTTCCTGCTTTGCTCCAGTGTTACATTTCCCAGGTGCAAGACTACATTCTCTTCTCCACATCATTATAATTGTTAGTCTTCTGGTTTGTTCTGTTAGGCGCTCTGCTTTAAGGATTTAATCTTCAACACTTCTAGGTATTGAACCTTCAAAAATAAAAAAAAAAAAAAAAGTCGTTTTGTATAGTTTTTAATGGAGGAGGGAAGGGGAGGGGTTGGACACGTCGGCAACGACTTTGTCGGGAAAGCGGGCGCGCACGGGGAGGCGGCGGGCCGGCGGTACGAGCCGAGCCCTCAGCGCTCCGCCGACCCTGAGCCGCCGCCTACGAGCCGGTGTCCGGCGCGGGGCCGCCGCCGAGGGCCGGGGCCGCCGCCGAGGGCCGGGGCCGCCGCCGAGGGCCGGGGCCGCCGCCGAGGGCCGGGGCCGCCGCCGAGGGCCGGGGCCGCCGCCGAGGGCCGGGGCCGCCGCCGAGGGCCGGGGCCGCCGCCGAGGGCCGGGGGCGCGGTGGGGCCCCGCCCGCCGCTTGGCTCCGCCCGCGCCGCAGCAATCTTGTCCCGTCCGCGCCGCCGTCCGCGCGGGGTGAGAGGTCACGGCTGCGTCCCCGGAAGCAGCGGGAGGTGGCGGCGGAGGAGGCGGGTGTCCGGGCAGCGGCGCCGGCAGCGGCCTCCGCCCCCCCCACCCCCCTCCCCCTCCTCCGGCCTCCTCCCCGTAGCCCCCGTCAGGGCAGGAGGATGGTGCAGAGCCCGCCCGCACGGCAGCCCCGCCGCCTCTGAGCCTCGCCGCCGCCTCCGGGCATCGACCCGCCCGGCCCGGGGGCCTCTTCCCCCCTCCTTGGGCGCCGGTAAGATGGGGACGGGGGTGGCTGCGGCTGATGGGGCCCGCGGGGATCCCGGCCACCGCCAGCCTGGAGGGTCTGGGCCCTGGGGATGTGCGGGGTCGCCTTCATCCTCCTCTTCCAACGCCCCCGGGGGGTCCCGCCGGTGTGCGACGGGTCGGGGGGCGGGTGCCGTTGGGTGGCTCCGGTGAGGGTTGTGTAACGGGGGAGGCGGCGCGGGAGCGGCTCCCGGGCCCCGGACCCGTGGCGGTCGGGCCGGGCGCTGTGTACGGCGGCGAGCTGGCTTGGCTGGTGCACGGTAACGTTAGTTTGACTTTATTATCGGCTTTGAAAAAAAAATGTTAAAGAGATTGGTAGTTTGAACTTCGTATCTGTGGCATCGCGCTAGGGAAAAACAGTAAGAAAGAGTCATTCCGATAGCACTAAAAATATTTCCGTTTTAAAAATAGCTTCTGAATAGTGATTCCCTCGTTTTTTTGCTCTTCGCTACATATCCACATTTTATCCTCTTTTACTCTTTGGATTGAATTTGTCTAAAGATGCGATGTTTCTAATAGTAAAATTTCCGGTGCATCGTGCCTAGAACATGGCTGCTAGATACGTTAAATTTGAACCGTATATCATAATCACAGATACGGACACCCTGGGAAACGTTTCTGCCTGACAAGGGAAAGAACAGATTACAGCACAGCTTTTTATATTTCCCCTTTCCCTTTGTTTGCTCTTTAAGGGCTTGTCTTCTCTGGGGAAATTTACTTGCATGATTAGCTCTAGCAGTATAATTATACGGGTAAATTTGCCCTATTAAACAAACCTTGAGTCTAGATAAGAATTCATTAAGGATTACTCTCACATCCTCATCGAACTTCTGTGAAGTTTTGCAATGGGCAGCATGTCGTGGAGTGAAAGCCTGTTGCGGCTGGGCCTATCTTTTGTGGTAAATCATCCTTGCGTTTTTATAAACGGTTGTGTTATAGGAAATAGGTACTAATCGTTTTGCTTCTAGGTTGGACATACAAAATGGTTCTAGGTTCATCTAGTGAGCTACTGCCGCTTCATCTACCTGCTTCTCCTCTGGTCTCTGGGAATAAGCCGGTGGCTGCAATCCAGTTGCTGGTCAGCAGGTGTCCGCAGGACAGGGAATAACTTCTGTAGACAGACTGGGCAGAGATAATACTGAATTGTGCCTGTGAGGCTGAATGCTCTTTGACCCTAGATTCAGTCCTATCAAAGAGGATTAAGACCTTGGTAGCTTTGTTACTTCCCGGGAGTTGAGGAGCGGCTCAGGGCCGCTGGAATGTGATTCTTCTTTCCTCCTTGAAAGACAAGAACTTGAAATGCCGCCTGGTAATACAAAATAGACACTGTGCTGTGTCAGTGGAGAGGAGCGTCTGAGGGCACAAACCAACAGACCTCGGTGTCCTTTGTGAGAGCTGTGTGGGTGATGGATGGTGTGCCATAGGAACGCAGCTCTCTCCTTAAACATTGCAGTTCTCTTAGCTGTGATTGTTTTTATGGTTTTGTTTGGGTTGTTTTTTTTTTTTTTTATTATTAAATGACATAAAATACTTTGTAGAATTGAAGCTGTTTTATCTAATGAGCCCTAAATTAAGTATTAATGAAACTCGTTGGTGTCAGAATTTTGTTCCAAATTTTTCCCAAATCTTCCCTTGCCTAAAGTATGTCTGTGTTGGGAGTTTAATTTTTTCTGAGCAGACGGTTTGGACCTGTGAATAAAGTTGGTACCCAGGACTCGGAACTCCCAGGTTTTGTTTTGGAAGAAAACTTACATATGTCCTGACATGGGTTTTGTTAATTATCTGTCTGTAAAATGGAGACTGTACTTACCTCTTTGAGTTTGGGCTAAGCAAACTAAAGTCCTGTTTCAGTTTGGCCCGTGGAATTGTACAGACATAGTATTACTGCCATATGCTTGGTATTTCAGCTACTTCTTAAGTCTCTTATTTCAGCCGTGTTTGCTCCTGTTTGTATTTTCTCCTTCACTAGTGGCCACTGGCTGTTCTCCTACTTCCCTTACACAGCCAGCCTTACCTTCTTTCACCATCCAGAGCTCTTTATTTTGCCATTCCCACTAAAGCTGCCATTTCCTCAACTTGTCAGTCATTTTCTGCTTGTGATTCGAGCTGTGTATGTGTCTGCATCTCTTGTCTCCTTACTCTCCTGACTTAGGATAAGCACTACTTAGCAACAACTAAAACATCAGTGTGTTATCAACATTATTCTCATACAAAATCCAAAACACAGCACTGTACCAGCTATTAGGAATAAAGTTAACTCTATCCCAGCCAAAACAAGGACAAGTGCTCATTACAAGCAATGGTTCTCATTACATACAGTCTGAAGAGTCTTTTTCTGGCATCTTATTTTATTGTACTTAGGCTGCTGAATTCTTTACTGCGTTCCTTAATGGGTAGCCTTAATGAAGTCAATGATTAACCTTCTTAAATTGGTCACTAAACCAGTTTCTGATTATTAAACTGTTACTGAGACTCTTCATACTTCTTGAGTAAAGTCTTTCTGTGAACT